GAGTGCTGTGAAGCTCACCAACAACCCGGTCAACATTCAAGAACAAAGCACATAGATGTCTGTCATCATTTCATAAGAGATCACGAACAAAAAGGGTACATTTACATTCAGAGTGTGGGCATCGATGATCAACTTGCCGATATCTTCACTAGGCCACTTGATGAGAAGAGGTTTTGCACGCTAAGGAATAAATTGAACATACTTGACTTCTCAAATATGTGTTGATGCACCCCATTATATGACATGCCTCTTCTTCGAGCAAATCAAAGTAAAATTGATTGTCATGTCATTCATCCATTGCTAAGGACTTGTTTATTGCTTCTAGTCATTCCTCACATGTCTTAGGCTCATTCATGAAAATCAAATAAATTTGATGCTTGTATGGTACCACTATTGCTTGTATGCTTGATGTGATCTAGTGGTAGCATATGACATGTTTGTGGGCTTGTGAACCTAGTGTTTAATCTAGAGAACGAGCTATAAGTGTTTAACTCAACATGGTACAAGATAACCCTTATTTGGAGGTGTGAAGAAGCTTGTCCTTGGATCAAACTGAGTTAAATATCTTTTGCAAGTAATCTAGATTGAACCAAATTGGGAAAATGATCCTCACTTCACATGGTTTCACCCCCAACCTATCTAAAATTTGAGCTCACCTTTTGTGCTAATTGTTGACAAAGGGGGAGAGAAATTCGCAAAGATAGTAAGATAGGGGGAGCAAATAAATGAAATGACACTATAGGGGGATCAATTAAAATTTGAAGCACACAAGTAGGAGGAGCAAGCTCATAAACTTGTTTATTGCATTTGTATGTGCATTACATATGTGTGCTTGCATGGCACAAGTTTTAAATTCCCTATCCATGCTTGTGTGGTGTATGCTAGATTGTAGAAAATGATTGATGAAATGAAAAATTAGCATGCATAGGATGGCTAGATATTCCTTGATCTTTTAAAAGTGGTACTAGAACCTTGCTTCCAATGTTGATCTCACGAGGTATCTAGTTTGTCTTTGCTTTTCAAGTGGTATCTAGCAAACTATGGTGCTAAGGATGGTGTTCAAATGGCAACTCTGATTGGTATCAAGCTTCAAAGGTCCATTCTTTACACCTTAGCATCATTTGGTAGCTATTACTCTCCCGAACTTCCAATCCATGCATATGTGCAAGCTTTCAAATCCAAACTCTTAGCACATATGTAAGGGGAGCTAATACTACCAATTCGGGTTTATTAAACTTGTCCGTAACCTCTACACATGTGAATATGCTTGGGCAAGCAACATGAATCTAAAAAGATTTTATTGAATATCTTTGTAAATAGGTTGTCATTAAATACCAAAAAGGGGGAGATTGAAAGCCCTAGTTTGGTTTTGGATAATTGATGAAACCTAGGGACTAATCCTTATACTAAGTGTGTAGACATGAAAGGATGGTCCTATGCCAAGGGGTGGAGCTAGATGATGGTCATGGTGATGGTGAAGACCAAACTTGAAGATCAAGTGCTCCAATTTGGAAAAGAAGAAAGAGAAAAACAAAAACCAAGGTGATCAAGGCAAAGGCATAAGATAGGTTTTTGTTTTGGCACTTAAGACACCATAGAGGGTGTAAGTGCATTTAGGATCGATAGCCGTACTATAAAGAGGGAAAATCTTTGGCTAAGCGGTTATCGAGTGCCACTAGGTGACAAGATTCTTGCATATGTATTTAGAAACCTAGTGTGCTAACTTTGACCCTTGTAAAATGCTTTGAAAAATGCTAACACACATGCACACAAGTTCTACACACTGTGGTTAGCAAGTTGGAAGCAAGGGCAAAGTGGTTGTGGACTTAGAAAAAGAAAAGGAGACGAAGGACGAGGACCGGAAGCTGGCCACGTTTTGATCGGACGCTGGCTATTGAGTCCGATCAATTATAGCGAGGAGGCACTGCTCTGGCCGAAGGCATCGAGAAGCGACCGGATGCTGGACCTGACTCCAGTGTCGTGTCTGGTCACTTTTTCAGAGGAGGTGAGTTGGCACAACCGGACACGCAGGGGCTACGTCAGGTCGAGCGTGACGTACACTGGCGTCATCCTCGCCAACGCGCACAGAGGAGAGAAGAGTTGACTGAATGCTCAGGCGCGTCAGGTCGCCTCTGATCTGACACGTCCGGTCAGTAAAATCTGGCTTTGGATCATCTCTAGAAATGATCAAACTCGGCTAGGGCGTGCGTTAGGTGGCGCAAGCAGCGTGTCCGGTCATGACTTAAGTGATCACGCGCTCGGGACTTGACCGTTGGAGATCAACACATAGAATTCAAAGGTGCGACACATGGAGGCCATCCCATGACCGGACGCTGAAGCCAACGTGTCCGGTCATCCCAACTGGCTTGTTTGGTCAGCACGCAGAAAGCTCCCCTTCGTCCCTAACGGCTCTATTCATTTGGAGAGCTCTATAAAAGGGGTTTGGCCGGCTTGGGGCTCACTCTCTTGGCACTTTGACATACTTGACATCCTTGCGAGACTAGGCAAACACCTCCCACTCATCTCCATTATTGATTCATCATCATAGTGAAATTGAGAGTGATTCCAATTGCATTTGCTTGAGTGATTGCATCTAGTGGCACTTGGGGATCGTTGGGGCTGTGGATTTGTTGTTTCTCTTGGTGGTTGCCGCCACCTAGATGGCTTGGAGCAGCGGAGGAGCTTCAACATGTGTTGGTGATTGTTTGTGGCAGGCTCCGGTGATTGTGAGGGGTCTTGCACCTTCCCCGGCAAAGAGCCGCAAGGGTAGCTCTAGTAAATTGCTTGTGTCATTGAGTTACCTCACTTGTGGATATGTTCTTGTGGTGTCCAATTGTTGGATGAGGTTTGTGCAATACCTCTTAGCCGCCGAACCACCAAGTGTTGGTCGACATAACGGGGACTAGCGTGCCGGCAAGCACGTGAACCTCGGGGGAAAAATCTTGTGTCTCTTGTGTGATTGGATTTCTCCCAGTGATTGGTTGTCATCATATTGTGATTGGTTCATTCCTCAACTAAGTGGTATAATCACCCTACATAGTCCATTACTTTCTTGCAAACTAGTTGTAGCAAGCTCTTTAGTGTAGCTAGTTTTGAGAGCTTGCTTTGTAGCTTAGTTTCATCTAGTGGAGCTCTTTAGTATAGCCTTGTTGAGAGCTCTTAGTGAGTAGTGACTTAGCTCTTGTGTGTGCCTAGTGATTATAGCAACTAGAATTGTTGGGATAAGTGGCTTACAACCCTTGTAGAGCTAGAGCAAAATTGCATTACGCCATTTGTCATACTAATCAATTGCTCTAGTGATCTTGTAGATTTTTAAATGGGCTATTCACCCCTCTCTAGCCATATTAGGACCTTTCACTAGTCTATCTCTAATATAATATTATAAAGAATAATGTTTCTTTACCTTTCATCGCTCATGGCCGGCCATCTAATAGGGATCTAAAGGACTCAATCTCGCATATGAATGAGTTGTAATAAAAAGTGTTTCATGATCCACCACTCTCTCTCATGTCCATACAAGTTAAATGTTCAGGCATGTGTGAAGTCTCATCCTAAAACAAATTAGAACACATGATATAATCATTGATAAATCTCTAAACCTTCAATGTCTATATGAGTTAGAGCAGCACATGTCCCTACAACAAGAGTTCGATTCATAGATGAATTGACAAGATCGCTGGTTGTCCATGTATAACTACACAACAATTACACCGTACGGGTATATAGTATACTAATTGGAACTTCTGAACATTGTAATTTAATTCCAAAGCGTCACATAAAATAGACTCCTAACTTCATTTTCAAGGCCCCAATGAAACATGGGCGTGGCTAGAGCCTGGACGTCCGGACGCTAGCCCGCCCATCTGGACACCCGCACTGTTGCCCCCTGTCTTGAGTCCCGCACCTACCGACCCACGTCTCGCCTGTTCCGCATGCCCACAAGCACATGGGACCTGCCATGCCTGTGGGACCACCTCTGCCTTTCCGCGCCTGACACCAAGGTGAGATAGCAGAAAGGTGAGGAGGGAGATACAACACTCGATCTAGTTTTGAGACATCCAGACGCAACAATTGCAATATACGTATGAAAACAAATGAAACATTTGAAACATGCGTCTAAAACACTTGAAACCTTTGTAAACATACACAACATCCAGATAAAACAATTGCATCATATGTGTAAAAACATATGCAACATCCAGACAAAACACACTTGCAACATAAGTCAGAAAAAACAGATGAAACAATGAAAACAGGAGCTTACAACATACATGTACAACCATTACAACACATGCAATATCCCGATCTACACTTGCAACATACCTCTAAAACATTTGAAACGCTTGAAATAGATGCTTTCAACATGCGTTTTCACCCTTCTTCCATACGTATAACGCAGAGTGGGGGATGGCTGGTCTCGGCCAGCCGGCAGCTGAGGATGGTGGCGCGGCATAGCAATGGCCCGTTGTGCCTATACCTGGCCTGGCCTGGCCAGCGACACCTTCCTCTCCTAGCCACCTAGTCTCGGCACGGTGAAGGGCGGAGCATGGCAGCATGGTGGGGGATGGAGGCACTACTGCCCTCGCCGAGCACGCGCATGGAGCTTGGAGGTGGAGGGTGAGGCATCAGTGACCGGATCAGGCGGCAGTTGTAGTCGGTGGGGGACTGGTAGCGTACCTTACGCGGAGGATTTGTCCTCTCCGTAGGAGATAGAGGTGCAACTAGGATGCATGGGGGCGCCACGAGGAATGGCGGCTGTGATGCACGAGCGCGGAGTGGGGAGACGAGCTTCTATGGGGATTTGATTTTTTTTCTTTTTAGGTGAGCGGCACATGCAGCAGTGAGTGGAGCACGGTGTCCGACCTTCCAGGGTGTTAATGGTAGCATTACCGATGAAACATTATTACGAGAATAGAAAACAATACGAGGGACAGTGATGGTCACACACACTCACACCACAATGCATGATGGTTGAAAGGATAGGAACTCCTAACATACTGCTACAGGCGCAGGTACATGTCGATCTTGAGCATGGCATTGTTGGTGCTGGAGTTGAAGGAGTGCGTCCTGAGCAGGCCATAATCGGTGGCTCCACGGAACCGGCCGGCTCCATCAATGACCGGCAACTCCCTGACCTTGTTAAGGATGGCATCCCTTGCCTGGACGATGAGGTAGCTGCCGTTCTGCTTCCCCGCCGTGAACACAATGTTGAGGCAGTGCATCACTGCCAGCTCATGCTGCGCCGTGAAGAGGTAGAACCCCTGCGCCCTTCCCACCGCCGGCGTCCCCGCGCCGAGACCCTCTGTTAGTGGGTCGTCGATCACGTACATGTTGCCGAAGCGGGTGGTGGGGGCTCCCGGCAGCGGCGTCATGCCCCTTGCCACCGGCACCGAATTTTTTATTTTTTAGCCCTTTTTTGAATTTTTTTCACAAATATGCCCCTGGATGTAAGATTTTGAAATGTGGACCCTTAGCTCAGCACCATCGTTGCTAGTGCCGAGCTTGCTCTTGGGCTCAAAGTAGACATGGCGGTGATTTGGCAGGCACCTCGGCGCCAGTAACCCTGACGCCGAGCTCGGTGCCATAGATCTTAGCGCCGAGCTCAACGCCAGGGTTACTGGCGCCAAGCCTGTCTTACGTATGGGCCCCAATCCTTGCCCGAGCAGCGCACCACCGCCGCCGCGCCCCACGCCCCTTGCCCGTACCAGCGCCTCACCGCGCCCCACGCCCACGCCCGGCCACCATCACCCACGCCGTGCCCCACGCTCCACGCTCGCACCGGTCCCCGTGGCTGCACCGGTCCCCGCGCCCGTGCCGCGCCCTCGCCTCGCCCGACGTGCCACCCACGCCCGTGGCCGCCTTGGCCGTGCCCCGCTGTGCCGGCACCGTGCCCACCCTGCCATGACCATGCCGTGGCCTCACCATGCCCGCGCTATGCTGCCCATAGCCGGCCTCGGCCGCCCGCCACATCTAGCCTCGGCCACGCCCGCTGTGCTGGCGTCGCCGCACGGAGCGCCAGACATCCTGTGTCGGCCATGCGCCATCGCTGTCCTTAGCCGCACCCTCATCGGCCTGGGCACCTGCAGCGCCCGACCATGCCACCGCTAGCCCGGCTCATCGGCCTGACCCACGCCCGACGTCCGCTGCGACTCCGTCGACGTCCGTGACTTCGTCGTCGGACAAATAAAAATTGTGAATTTGCAATGTGCGTACTTAGTTAGCTTTGATTGTAGTGTAGTAGTTTTGGCATTTGTTATTTACTAGTTAATGTGATGACTCAGGTAGTTGATTTAGTTAGTGACGTAGTGAGATAGATATGTAGATAGATAGAAACATAGATACATAGGTACATAGATATAGTTAGATAGCTACTTAGATAGGTAGTTATATATTTAGTTAACTAAATAGGATCTAGCTATTTAGTGAGTACACTGTATCTATGTATGTAGTTATTATCTTATTTACTTAGTTTGTAGTTAGAAAGTACTTGTTAGGTACTATCTATTGTCTAATTTGGACTAAAGGACATGTGTTTTGTTATGTGTTTGAAATAGATGGAGAACCTAGTGACCATTTATCATGGAGGCACCGTTGAAAGCGATCGCTATGGATATGCTGAGTTTGTTGACATGCAAGGCATGCTTGTGCTATTCAATGAGAAGCCATCGTTTAGTGAGATGGTTGCAAGGGCTCGAGAGGAGCTGCATTGCCTTGGCGATGATGATGGCATTGTAGTTGAGGGTGTACTACACCTAGGTTCTCCTCCCAACATCCTTAGGCGAATGATCCAAATTGGATGTGTGGATCAGTGGGAGAACTATGTGAGATCGGCAATGAAGAGCCAGCTGCAATGTTTGGACGTGGTTGTGCATCGGGTGTTAGTTGATCCCATCCCTCATAGGGTTTCTCCACCAATGGGTCAATAGGCACACTTCAACCCTCTTGTCCCGAAACCTGATATGGATGTAGAGGTTGCACCTACGGTTCCCAATGCTTAATCTGCCCCCAATGAGCTAGTTGGAGATGCTTGTCATACTTATGATGTTGTGGCAGATCCTCCTCATGAGATCCCTTTGACAAAGAATCATCCGAGTAAGTGTCTTATCCATATGGTTATTGGGAGCTTACCCCCTTCCTTACATCCATGCCTTTCATTCTTTCCTCATTTTTCTACTTATGTTGCAGTAGACATTCCTGACAATGTGGATGTGCCCCCTGTTGCTGCGCAAGTGCTCTGTGGAGATGGATTCTGTGGCCCCAATAGTGTTGAAATTATGAATAATTCAGAGCCATATGAGATGGCAAGGGCTCTTGATTCTGATGATGATCGCCCTGTTGGAGAGCTGACAGAGAGTGATGTTGAGATGTTGAGGCGTATCTTTCCTGGCCGCCGTGATCCTGGAGTTCACGAGTTCAGCGATCTTGCTCATTCTGATCAGGCGTGTGCAGAAGGATGTGATGACAAGCTCCTAGAAGCTCCTGAGGCCGGCCCTAACATAGTAATTGAGAATGGGAGGGTGTTCATAGACCTCCCTGCATTGAAGAGGTGGTTGCAGGTGTTTGTAGTGATACGAAAGAGACCTTACAAGGTCTTGCATTCATATGCGGAGCACCATTACACAGTTGCATGTGACAAGGAATGCTGCCCATGGAGGGTTTGTGCAAGGAAGCAAAAGGTCACCGGAAAGTGGAAGATCACAAAAGTTGTTGGGCCACACAATTGTGTTGACCATGTGCTGACACCGAGGCATCGGCAGTTGACATCTGCCCTCATTGCCAAGCGGTTGATGGGAATATTGCAAGGAGAACCCAACATGAAGGTTAGGTCAATTATCAAGACCGTTGAGGCGTTGTATGGAGGTTATGTGATAACTTATGGTAAAGCTTGGAGGGCTAAGCAGCTCGCGTGGAAGATGATATATGGGGACTGGGAGGATGGGTATGAGCAGCTGCCAGTACTTTTTAATGCAATTAAAGCGGTGAATCTAGGCATGCATTATGAGTATATCCCAAAACCAAATACATGGAAGGATGGGAGGCAGATATTCTTATGTGCTTTCTGGTGCTTCCCTCAGTGTGTCGAGGCCTTTAGGCACTGTCGTCCCGTCTTCTCCATTGATGGTATGTTCTTGATTGGCAAATACCAGGGCACACTTCTTATAGCCATATCCTATGATGCCAACAACAAGTTGGTTCCTTTAGCATTTGCTTTGGTTGAGAAGGAGAACAACGACAGTTGGGGATGGTTATCCTCCAAGATTTCAAATGCACTTGTGGTAAACCAAGGCAGTATCACTTTCTATGTTCCCATTTAGTGGCAGCAGCTAGACATCGTAACTATAATATCGAGAGCAGGATACCTCACGAGTTCAGTGTCGACACACTTGTGCACACATGGAGCCCCCGCTTCATGCCTTTCCGGGGCCCTAGAGAGTGGCCTCCATATGATGGGCCAAAGTACATTGTGGATCCAGCTTACCATTGGAACAAGCATGGATCAAGGAAGAGGACTAGGCACATGATGGTTATGGATCAGATACCCGGAAGAACAAGGCGTGGGAGAGGAACCCCATTTCTTACTGACCCCGAGCAGTACGAGTGCGGCAAGTGTGGTAGACTTGGCGATAATTCATGAAGTTGCCATTGGCAGATTAGTGAGGTGCGACTATTGGTTGTTTTCATTATTTCATATTTGTCGTATTCATTTAATTAATTATGCATGTCTCAATTTATGCATGTAATTGTGTCAATAACTTGTACATTTCTAAGTTCATGTTTTATTGTATATTGAATTTCTAATTCATTAACTTTTTTCGTAGGATGGCGCAATTCCACCTGCTCGACCCGACGAACGAGGCGACCCACCGAGGACGTCTCATAGCTGAGGGGCAGGTAATAATCTATATGTTTTGTTCAAATTTTGGTGAGCGTACATGTGTTCATGAAGTAGCAGGAGACTATGTTTTATTCCATGCAGGACCTTCTACTCCTTCATCCTAGAACCCACAATGGGTTCTTGGACATGCAGTACGACGACAGGTGCACTCCTTTCCTGCAAAGAGCTGGCTTGGATGTCATCTCTTTTCAGGTTCATCGTGGGTTGCCCAAGTTCAACTCAGCGGCCATAACTGTGTTGGTTGATAGGTATTATCTTCAATCATTGCCTCCACTCATGGTCATTTGTTCATGCGCTTGCCTTTTTGACATGTAATCTTGCTTTGTCTAAAATGTAGGTGGCGGTCGGAGACTCACAACTTCCACCTACCTTTCGGGGAGATGACAGTCATGCTCCAGGACTGTTAGAAGATGCTAGGCCTAAGGATTCACGGCAACACAGTCATCGGGCAGTGCAGGTCAGAAGGTTGGAGAGCATGAGTGGAGGCCTTCCTTGGGCGTGAGGTTGGCGAGCAAGGGGCTCGCACTTCTAGAGTTCTCATCTCCTGGCTTCGGCAAGAGTTCACATAGTGCCCTAAGGAGGCAGATGAGGAGACAGTTGGGTACTACTGCAGGGCGTGGATCCTACACCTATTTGCCTACATTCTCTTCCCCGACGCCATGGGTGACACTGCATCGTGGATGTGGGTCCACTGCCATAGTGACTGAGACCAGGCGGGTCAGTACAGCTAGGGCTTTGCAGTCTTGGGTTTTCTTTACCGATAGCTTTGCGAGGGGTGTCGTTGGACTTCGTCCACAGCGTCACTTGGTGGATGCATGTACCTGCTTCAGTTGTGGATGTGGGCTCATCTACTAGTTGGCCGTCCCGAGGTTCTGGCTCCTCGTGAGTGGTTCCTAGGTCAGCCTCCACGTCGGCAGTCGATGTGGGCGTACCTTTGGGACTAGGTTAGGGTTCTGCATATGAGGTTAGAGTGGGCGTACATTGAGTTCATGAATGAGCTAGACACGCTCACGACGTCTAGTGTAAGTAAATTTTATTTCCCATGCTAGTTTGAGATGGTTTAGTATAGCATCTAACATCTTATTTGGACATGTTGTAGGTGTCGTGGGAGTCATACGATGGAGAGGGGGCACTTCCTTTTCATGTGAGCAACATGTGTGGGTTCGACGACGACTTCTATAAGATGAGGTGCCCTCTAATCTGTTTCTAAGCTGTCGAGTTCCACCTGCCAAATAGAGTTGCATGCCAATTTGGAGTGAGACAGATTTGGCCAATGGCTCCGTTCTCGACTGGCGTTGACTTACACAAGTAAGTGTTTTGCTATTTCAAATGTCTCATGATGGTCCATTTCCATTAATATGGTGACATGCACATGGATTCAAGTAATGATGACATACGTGCAGGTTGGATCGTTAGAAGAACAGAAAGATTTTTGACTGGGAGAAGCACCACCAATACTACATTGAGCAATGGGAG